ATGCTAATGCACTGTGCTAATTATGAAGCTAGTACAGTTGTCAGCCACTGAGGCAGAAAAGTACATTTCAGGACGCCTGCAGGTTTCTGTGCATTGCATCAGAGGGAGAGCAGGCTGAGTTCTGCAGGAGGACATGAAAAAGCACCGCGCAGCCTGTTGTTGGTGAATGAGGGTCAAGTGTTTGATAGCTCGGTGCTTTCAGGCAAAAAGCAGGTGTGGGGTTTTATGATCACAACAGGAAGCCAGCTCCGCGGCGCAAATAGCCAGGTGTGCAACTCAAATAACGTGTTACAGTAAATAAGTAGATGCACAAATGACAGACTGGAGCTGTGTGAAGATGCATTACTGAGACGCTTTGTGCTTACCAGATCTCGTGGGGAAAATAAATCACGTGTCCGGTGAAGAAAATGGTTTTCACTCTGAAAACATTTTCCACAGTTGTCATTTATGAAATTGGTTTTGGTTGAAAATAAACATTGAGTTTATTTCTCCCTCTGTGCCAACACTTGAACTTATTCAGCGCTGAATAATATCAGAACTATTTACAGAGACGATGTTTTTTGAGCAGGGAGAGCCGAGCTTCCTGTTTGCTCTCCTGCCTTCTTGTCTTTCTGCTTCACTTCTTCTCTTTATACTAATGCTTATCTTTAATCTTATTTGCATTCAAATTACCTCACAGGTGGTACACCAATACGAGGTAAGAATGCTGGCTACAGAAAAACATCTACTCATCCTCCCTTCCTCCTTCATCGCCTTCATCCTTCTCTCCACCTCGATGTGTCCTCATTTCCAGCCCTCTGTCCTTTTGCCTGTTCCAACACTTTCTTTGCCTTCAGCACATAACCGTGCACAGGTGTGTATGGTCTCGAAAGAGGCGGTGAAAGGTTTTCAAATTCAGAAAACCAGGAAAAATAATGCCTGTCTGCGGAGCGTCATGAGAACTTATTCTGGTTGAAGTCTCACTTTAAATTCCGGTGCAGCTGAACAGTGTTGAGTTTGCCAGTCGTACAAAACAGAGTTGGACATTTTTTTATCAAATGCAAAATAATGCATTTTGATATAATATGCAATCGTTTGTATTTTGCTGCTACTTACTGTACACATGCAAGAAGGACGAGTGCAGCACTGAAGACAAACTGCAGCTGCTTTCTATCAAACAGCTGATTTACTCCCTTTTCATGGTGTCGTGTTATCAGAGTGGAAGCAAGGACAGTGGCGTGCAGAGGACTCACTAAAATCTAGACTCATATTTTAAATAATGCCTAACAATTATTATTTACCCTCCAAAATAAATGAAGAATTGGACGTGAAGAGTCTCAAAAGGAGCTGTTTAAAGTTCGGTGTCTCTTTTTCATTCTGTCAGCATGAAAGCACAACAGTTTGTGTCAATCTGCATGAATTTTCTAATGATTTCTCCCCCCTGGAGTGAGACTGTGCTCACACTGATTACCAGGCTGGACACAGCCAAAGCACCCAGGAGGTATTGTACTCAGACGCCCAAATCTTAGCGAGCCCTTTCGATGCTGTACTCGGAGGTCTTCACCCTCTTTGACAAACAGAAAGACGCCGTTTTCTTCATCTGCTCTTCCTTCGGTCACTACCCTTCGCTCATGGCCACAAATCAGGGTAAAGCAGACGAATGGTCAGTTGGTAGCATTGCTTTAATGCTCAGCTGTCTCTTCACCCGACTGGTACAATCT